AAATTCACTAATAAGCAGCTGCCTCCATGCCTTTTAGCCTCCACAAAACCCAGCTAGTCACAATATCCCAGACTCAGGACGCCAGACCTATAGTTAAGATGCATCTGAGCCCTAACTGAGCCATGGCTTTAAGAATAGGAACAGAACCAGTTTGAAATCCCATTTTACAGCTCCCCAAACCACATCTGAACCATGTGGTACATGTGTGGCATTTAAGAACAAATTATCTGAACACCATACAAATGTTCACTAATAGCTAACTCCAAATTCTAGCAACCAGCATTCTTGCATGCATATTTGTGGCTGACATTGTGTAGACTTTGAGGCATGTATATTTGTTAATTTGAATTCTGTGTATTTTGCGGGCAGTGAGGGTATAATACTGAAACCATAACTTCATTGTGAAAAAGTTTGCACTTTTTTATGTATGTATATATATATATATATACACACATGTGTGTGTGTGGAAACCTGGAATGAGCTGGGCAGTCAGACACACTAGCAGGAATTCTCAGAACAAGAAAAGCTCAGCTTTTAAATACATTTTAATGATGGTTTCCTTTACTTTGATACCAACAAATTTCACTTTTCATTATTATTATTATTCTTATTTCTCTAATTTTGTTTTCAAAATTGACTTTTAACTTCCAATTGTATTTTTGTTAAAACCTGCATTTTACATTTCATTTGTTCTATCCAATAACATCTTTTAAGGCCGCACCTGATTTACTGACACAAACTGAAACCCTATGGATATTTTGTCTGGTATAAGCCTCCTGGAAGAGCAGTAGTTTATCATTTAGGTTTTAAGCATAAAGCATTTGCCAAAATCCAGCCCCTACTTTGACGTTTCAGTTATTACTAATTCAATACCTAATGCCAAAACTGTATTCCAGTGTATGCATCATCCTACCTCCAGCCTCCCCCTTGCTCTGCCTTTGCACCACGCCTGGTCAGCCTCGTGCCAGGAAGAAATTCAAACCCCAAACCCAGAGAACTGCATATTCAGCATCAGCTTAAAAGCAAGTAGCTGTTGTCATCTCAAGCTCTGCAAAATACTAACCCCAGAGGAAAACCAGCCAAATCTCACAAAAGGCTCTGTGCAGAAACACTGCTTGTTCACCCAAAGATCTCAGCTAGGACCAAGATGCTGTTAGATACCACAGTGCTTAAAACAAATGGAGAGGCCTGGGCTAGGAAAATGGAGCTGAGCACTTCTGGCTATAATTATTTTGGTAAAGGATGGTATTCTGCTTTCTGAAGTCTGTGTATTAAGACACCACTGCCCCAGCAGGGACATGGTCCCTCTGCACTCAGAATGACACTGGTGCCTCTGACTGGCATCACCCTCCCACTATAGCCAGTGCCCTGCACAAGCAGTATAGAGGAAATGAACCTTTTGGAATCCAATGATTAAGTAAATAGCTGCTCCCTATCCCCTTCTGCAGAGGAAAACTGCCTGGGATGAGTTAAACAAGTATTCTGTGGTCAGAGACGACACTGACAGAAAGAACTTTTGGGAAGAAAGCTGTAAGCGTAACATTGCATTAAGAGGAAATGAAGGAGCTACATTATAGTATTGACTTCTATAGCTATATCTGTTGGTGTTTTACATTCTCCGCTTATCACCCCTATGTCTCTGCTTTGGAAAAGCAGGGTTCAGAACAACCAATAGAGAAATGTTCATGGCAAGAGCCTAACACTAAGGGTGCTGGAGCCATGTCTTCTCTAACCCTCTGATCTTAGGAAAGATAATGGTTCATTCATTCTCTCTCTCTTTTTCTTCAGTTTTGTAGGAATTCACCCATTGTAATGGGCCTTTGACCTAACCTCCATTTCTTCTAATACTGCCTGACATATTCCCATCATATGTTAACAGTGTGTGTCTTCAGTCAAAAGCAAACCATCACTGGTGCTCTCAGGCCCTAAAGAAAAGCAACGTGGAGGAAGAAAGAAAGAGAAACCTCGACCTTGCTGGTTCTTCCCAGCGATCTGTTGCTCCAGCAACTGAAAGTCAAACAATGATGTCAAGAAGACAGAGCCAGCCACTTTAAACCCTGCATCCAGTTGCCACAGCAACTAGATTTAAAGTAAGTGATGCAAAGAGATCTTTCTTTCCTCAGTAGTAAAAAAAATATGAGAGAGTAAATGAGGGTGGCAAAGGATGTTTACCTGGGGCTGAGGATGTTTGTGTAGGGGACTGTGCTGTAGCACCCTGCCGAAGGGCTGGGGCAGGGAGGAGGATGCTGTTCCCTCCCAGAGGAGCAGAGCAGCTGCTTGGAAGCGAATTGCTTTGCTCTTCCTTTCACCAAAGGAAATGCCAGAGAAGCAAACTCTGCTGCCAGATGCCACATGGACACCAAATGTTCCCCACCAGCTCACACCAGCCCATGCTGCCGAGGCTCCGAGGGGAGGGCTCGACCTCTTGCTTTCATCCCTCCTGCCTTGAGCTGCCTCAGCTGTTGCAGACCCATCTGTCCCAAGAGCCACTGGCCATGCTGGGCAGCTTACAGCCTTCAAACAGGAGGACAGGTGCTGGGGGGGCCCTGTGGCCACCCCTGAGCTGAAGCCCTTTTACAACCCCCGCTCCCCTCTGGCCCTTTCCCCAGCCTCCTGGATAGCTCTTTTGTTTGGGACCATTGGTTTGCAGCTTCCCAAGAACTGAAATCCGTGGCAAAAAGGCATAGCTTTGTGATTTCACTCCAGATAAAAACAACTTCCCCAGCCTTCTAAAGGACTAAGAAGGGAGATAGGGTGAGAGCTGTTTGTATCCCTGGCTGGTTTTGAAGGTTACAGCCAATGCTTTGGTTGACCCAACCCTTTATTCATGTAGCTTCTTTGCACTTGGAGCACACTGCTTCCCAGAGTAGCCATCCACAGGAAGGTGTTGAAGAACAGACCTGGGAGATGGGAGACAACCATGATCCATGGTCCCTACTTGGAAAGACCTCGATAAACCAACCAGCCACACCATAGACCTCCTAAAGAGATGTTTATCCCCATGTGCCTGCAAGGAACAACGTGATTAACTCTTGCACTGATTCATTCTTATCCATTTATCTAATACAAACCATTTCTTACTCCATTAGGCCCTTGCCCTCACTGAGTAATCCCTGGTTGTATCATGCTTTGGAATTAGTCTGTAAGGTCCTCAGGGCAGGGATCACGCCTTGGAAGGTGCCTCACAGACTTTAGGCCATTGCTAAATTAATAAGAATGTAATAAAAGAATTAGAGAGCTCTACTGAGGGAGGCATTGTTATGCCCCAGAGGCAGCATATCTGGTTAACAACCCTGAAAAGAAATGCCAACAACATTAGCCTCTGCCCCTACATCCCTCTGCCTAATGTAAAATTAAATAGCTACAAATTACCTATCTATTTTTCTATCTTCCTAGACAATTAGCCCATGCTCATTACTGGACATATGGGGATACATCCAAGCATGCAGCATGGAGACAGGAGACACAACATGGCAGGAGTGGATTCTCCCAGACCTCTACTCCATTGTAAAATGCATCATTAAAGCCACAAAACACTGGACTAGCAGTGCAAGTCAGAAAAATCCTGCCAGAATCCAGCAAGAGGAGTGTCCAAAGAGTAAGCCAAGAGCCAACAGTGGCAAACAGGCTGTGAAAGTGCTGTCAAGAGTAAGCGCAGGACAGAGACGAGCGGCCAGGGATGTTTATTCATATGGGAAAGACAAACACCAAACCATAAGCAAATGTGGCTCAGCGCATTTATTTGCAATTAAAGCTCATGCATACATTTCCATGGATATGAGGTGCACCCGACTAATTAACAAGCCTGATCCCAATGGTGCACTGTCAAGAATAAATCCACAGTATTGCAGCAATGGGAGATCTGAGCATTAAGTAAAATATCCTGGAAGAAAATTCACCCTGAGGTTCTCTGGTCAGCAACAGTGAATAAGACTCCCCTTATGCTCCACCACAGCCATGGGCCAATTGAGGCATCACAGCATCAACCCCCACACACTCTATTAAGAGAAGAATGCTGTCTCAAATGCTCTTTAATCCAGTTAAGTTCAAGCCCTCCATTTTTGCAGTTTGACAGTAATGCTATATTTTTATTCAGTGCAAGATCAGAGGTCTGATGAAACCTCATGTTGCCAACATAAAAGTGGAAGGAGCTTTAGCTAATCCCAAGGAAAATGAAGTCCACCTCTTTCTCCCCACACCCCTCCTGAAAAGAAAGAAAATGCAAACCCCACATTTGACTCTCTTGGAAGAGGAAAATCCCTGCTGTCCTCAGATGGTTAAAACACACAGCTTTAGTGGGCTGCATAAGGAATAGCAATTACATACCCTTCACCTCTTGCCAGCTTAGGGGCTTTTTGGTGGGGTTTTGTTCTAAATCTTTGGGTTGGTTTTGGTTGGGTTTTCTTTTTCCAATCATTCTTCTAGGGGAAACAGTCTCACCCTCCATTAGAATGGGTGGTTTACAGGGGGAGAAAACAGGAGAAGGGAGTTCACAAGCTGCTTCCATGTCATTAAAAAGAGAGGGAAAGAAAAGCCAGGTCTACAGTGCAGTTAGCCTGGCCATATTAAAGGAGCAGGTGTTGTACTGACTTAATTTATCTGGGAGGAGACTGAGCAAATCCCACCAACCCCGCTGAGAAAAAGAGCTTTATAGGCTGACACAAAGCTCTTCCTGCTGCAGCATCCCTCTTCCCTCCTTTTCAGCATCTCCTAATTGCACGGCTAACATCCTCTGACAAGTGCCTCAGATGGTCCAGCAACAGCCCTATCACCCACCCTCCCTACCTCACTCCCCATCCCTGATTGTTACTAACACATTCACAGCACCCATCCCTGCAAAGCCCAGGCTGCTCTTGGTTACTCTCTAGCACAACTGCATCTGCTGAGTAACTGCAAAATACTCGCTTCCACTGTGCTCAAGACACAGTTGCTCAGCCGTTGTGATACTGCAGCAATGTCTGGCACAAGGAACAGTGCAAACAGGGCTCCAAAGATTCCCCTTTTGAGGTTGCAAACTCAGGACCCACATCAAAGCCAGCTGCTCGTCTGATGTTTGCTTGGAATTATGATGTCTGGGGGGGGGGGGGGAGCCTATCTGCCTGCCATGCCATGAATATGTGCATTATTGGCATAGCCTCCAGCCACGCCACAAGGTGCATGTCAATTAGAGCGTGGATCTGGAAAGCAGCAAGCCTAGGCAAGTAAAGATGGGAAAGAAGGTTATTTATTAAAATACCTCTTTATATGAGGTAGAAGAGGATCAATCTGGCAAAGTTTTCTTATAGTCAACAAAAGAGGTGCAGGTTCAACAAGCATAAACTTGGCCTTTCTCACTCTCAAATAATATGCCTAGAAGCCAGACCCATGCGAACCTGGGTTTTTACACCAAAATCAATCATTGCCACTGGGGCCACAGCCCCACCCTTGCTGCTGACCCTTATACAAAGGCCAGAATGTAAAGCAAACACCTCCAGCAGCTGTACTGTGCTTTGAGCTTTCTCTTCTTCTATTAGTAGGAGTTTCCTCTGGAAACAGAGGCCAGCATGGCAGCAGAAAGGAAGCCAGCACCTGATTTTGCCTGTGGCACAAAGACGTGCTACAGCTTCTCTACTGCCCATACCATTGCTAGCACCATAGCAAGGTAAATGCACTGGAAAGAGAGAGGGAACAGGCTCTTGTCCTTGCTGCTCAATAGCTGCAGAAGATGCACACAGGGTTGTTTGTGTAACCTCATATCCACATCAGCCATACCAACCCACACATGAGTGCAACCACTAGCCATGGGGAGGGTGCACAGGAGGGAACAAACAGGGTATAAATGGTGTTCTCTATCCATCCTCGACTGCACCCAGCCCTTTGTGCCATAGGAACAAGCAATTTATAGCATCAGTTTGGAGAAAGAAACTGCCCATCAGACAAGAATTACCCTGGATTGGATTATTCAGACTGAAATCAGTTTCTTATCAGGAGCAGAAGGTTCCCTTGTGCATTCGGGAGGGAAAGGAAGGTTTCAGGATAGCAGCAAGCAGCAAAGAGCATCTAATTCAGAAAGTGTTCAGAGATTTTATTGCCCGAAGGTAAACCAAAATGTACTCCTTTAAGACAGTGAAAGGAAAAGAGCATTGGGAAGGAGGAGGAGGGGTTATGGGGAGGGATGAGAGCAGCTGGACTGGAATTCCAGGGGGACGCATAGACAGGCAGTCACAAAGTCTGTTAATTATTTAAAAAATAAACTAACACAGAAAAGGACATCCTGGGGAGGAGGGGGAGGTAGAACCTCAGGGTACCCATCAATTATACACAAACCAGCTTGGGGGCACTGCAAATAAGGGTCCTGCAGGCATGCTCATGGAGACGTTGCAAGAAGCTGGCCCCATCCCACCACTCGTGACATAGCACAATACCTTCGTGACCCTCCATTACCCCTGGTTCATTGTGGTTTGTAACTTGGGTTGAGATCCACAAGAGGAAACAAATGCAAAGCAAAGCTTGGCACTAGTCTTCGTTTCTAATTGCATTGCAACCACATTTTCACCTGGCACCACAGTGAACTGGCCGCTTCGGGAGCCTCCCTTCATACTTATGAAGCAGTGACCACAACAAACATTTGGGTGTTAAGCAGAAGACAACTGCATCTAGGTCACTGTTTCCAGATCAAGTTAAGCAAAGCTACAAGGCAGGAGACCCAGGAAATAAATGTTCTTTAACAACCAGCTTCTCTGACCAAAGCTGGGCCCTATATGGAGCAGCAACTCCAGAGATGCAGATCCAGTTTTCAACAGGGTCAGGCCACACACACCACTCCTGGGAACTACACAACATGATTGTCTTGGCTGAACAGCCACCTATGCTGTTGGCTTTCAGATCTTTCTTTCCAGGAGCTCCATTAACAGACAAAATCCAAAACAAAGTGTAAGTAGCAACAGTATTGCATCTCAATTTTAATATTTTCTTACAACTTGAACCTTGAATTGATATCCCAATATCTTTAGTACAGCTCTGGTCCAGAACTTGAACCTTGAATTGATATCCCAATATCTTTAGTACAGCTCTGGTCCAGACAGTCTGAACGTCAAGCAGGGAAGAACCATCTCGGGTTCAGAAGTGCTAATCCTGTGTCCACGTCCATTTCTGTTGTTTCTTGTTATGATGAGAAAATATATTCTCTAGCAACCAAAACGACTAACTTCTCTCGTACACACCATCAAATAGCCATTACATAACAGCTTTGGCTTACAAATGGGTGGCGCTAAATTCAAGCTATGCATCTACAAGTATGAAGACCTATGACCTCTTACAAAATCTTAACCCATCCAAGTCATCCTAATTCCTCCTACTCCTCTATTCTTGGCTTATACATGAAGTAACACCTATTGTTCGCACTGAGCTCCTCCTTAAAACATACAGAAACATGCAGCTTGCGAGCAAGAAGGGGTGATGTGTGCTTGATAGAAACCACCTCTATAAATGAAACCACAATTTTCATGATAAATGGGCAAACAGGCAGAAACTGTCTCTGCCATAATGATTTATTTAAAATAAATCAATCCAGCTGTGGTAAAATAACGAGTTCTCTGCAAACACACACACAAATTCTGGCTGTTTCATTACGAACATATTAAATCTAGTCCCTCAATTCCAGCTCTTGATGATAATTAAATACACAAACGTACTGGAGTGAATTTGCTCCTGGTAATTTGCATCGCAGAAAATCATTATTCCAGCAATTAGATATGGTGCAACTTGCTTCTTTATGTACATCACAGATTTCTTCTGATGCTTTTGCATCACCCTCTAAGTAGTTAATGGAGGCCCCCTTCCTATTAATAGCATGATACAGTGGGTTCATGGTAGCTTGGCCTCACGTGTTTGGAGCTCTGCTTCATACACATGTTTGGGATAACTTTTGTCCTTGTTGCTAGGGCTGGTGCTGCAAACCTCTTGCTGCCTTTAAATAGCCAACTCCTTTGCTGGAAGTGGAGTGGTTTCCATTTGTTACTTATTATATTGGTCATTTGTTCAATTGTGCTAGCCTTGTGCAGTGATTAACCAAACAGTGCCAGGGCATCCTTCAGTTCAAGGCAACTAATTAGTTTGTTCCCCTCCTGTTCAGTCTATTTGTCCTGTCACACATGGGGCTGATGCATCTCTGACTCAGAAGAACAGGTGCAGACCTGCATCCATTTAGGTGAGACTCCTCATCCCAGGCCAAGATTTAAAAGTCCCCAGGTTTAGAAAGTAATCCTCAGTCACCAGCAGGAGAAAAAAGAAGGATCAGGAACAAGAGGAGCATCAAGGGGGAAAAAAATCCGCAGAACAGATTTGTAGGGCTAAGTTTTGCACAGCCAGAAAGCCCAGCCTTTTCTCCTCTAAAGGCATTTCTCTTTGAACATTGGTCTTAGAAGCCTGTGAGAAAGCCTTCTCTCCCTCTTGAGGCTGCTTCCTGAGCTACAGCTGGCCATGCTAGCAGCCTTCCCTGCATTTCAGCCTTAAACCTGTATTAAAGGCAGAAGGAGGTGCCTCCCAGCACCTCCTGATCTCCAGAGGTATCACTGCTGCTCCGTGGTTTAAAGATGGGATGCATATATGATAAATTTTAATTAATCAAATCAAGAATTTTGATACATATTTGAGAATCTATTTGCTGCCAATCCACATTTATAATAAAGAAATAGAGGCCAGAGAAACATCGAAGAAGAAACAGACAGCACAAAATGTGTCTAAGAAGCGACACCATCACCATGGGGAGCTTCTCTCTCCATCCAGACTGCTCCTGGTCCTGCTTCTTCCCAGCCGAGGACTAGTTTGATACTGTCACCTCTCTCACCTCACTGTTCTGTGTTGCTCCAGCTCCTCAGCTGTTACTCAAAGCCATTTCTCTCCCCTGAGCAACCTTCCCTTTTTGTTTTCCTTCACACTGTGATTTTAACTGACTTTTAGTCTACTTGCACAAAGTAGTTAGATCAAAGATAGCCCAGAAGTGAGTGTGATAGCCTGGGCAAGGAAGAGTCACATTCAATTCTCCTCTCCACCACCGACTTCTCACCTAACCACAGACACACTATTTCACCTCTTTCTGTCCACCACTGCCTTCTTCAAAGTCCTGTTCAAAGACATCAAAGATATGCGTTAAAGGCTGGAAACACTTTGAACATCATGATAGTCACTGGCCACTTCAAGAAATCTTGTCCATTACAGCTGGATGTTTACCCTTAGGTGAAACCACAACTCTACCATCAGAGCTGAACACTGTGTCCTTCAGCAGATGGTGGGGTTTACCCTCTCTTTGCAAGGGTCATGGTCAGTATTGCAGTCTGCCCCAGCTCATATGGCCACTTGCTGCGAGATGAACATGCAGACGTGCTGCAGTCCTCCTACAACCAGCCCCAAACCTCCCAGAAGGTTAGAACAGGAGGGGTGGGATATGGCCACCCAATGCTGAGACCCTCTGGCTACTGCTGGGGTGTGAAAAGGAAGAGGAAAAATGCAACAAAAGAATAAAAAGGCTTCCAGTCCAAAGCACAATTAGGAAGAATGCACCCCTTTTTCTCAGGGTTAGTCTTTTTTTCTCCCCTCTTTTTGGCCTGGCTCACGGCTGCCTGCAGCTCCCTTTGCTGGTTGCCTAGCAGGACTAGCATTCATGGGAATCTGAGGTACACCATGGATGTTCCCTGGAAGCAGCCTGCTATTTCCTACCCAGATGTCTTTTCTTTTGGTCAGTGTCATTGCTCAAAGAGCAACAATAGCACTTTATTTCCGTGGCACTCATCTTCAGATATTCTAGTGACAACCTTGCCTTACCTTCAGCTATGTTGTACCCTACATGAATATCACATACAAAATCCAAAACAAATCAAGGCAGCTAAAGTTGTTAATCCTTCCGGTCTGCAAGGCAGAAGGGTTGTTTTACAAAGCACAAACACTCAAGCTACACAGTTCTGCTCAAGTGCCCTGTAACAGTCAAGAACAGCTGAAGCAATTAGCAATGCCCCATCTCCTCCAAAAGGCACAAACTCCAGGGAAGGAATCAATAGGAAAACTCTACAATACAGAGCCTTTAGCTTAAGACACAATTTAGTGATAAAGCCTTTAAAAGACAAGGGATAAGATGCTAGACATGGACTTAGGAAAGGGCTTAACTCTATCCTTGCATATTTGGCCGTGCCATAGTCTTGGGCTACCCCACGTAAATAATATTTGTTTTCTTCATGAAACCATTTGGAGTCCACTGACAGAACAGGCTAAAGAACTATACTTATGACTTATTTATACCATCCTATTATGCAACATGGTAGTTTTAACACTGAACAATGTGCTAGAACAGACACAGGGTAAATGCTCCTGCAGAACTCTAACCACACGTACCTCGTGTGGTAAGGTGCGTGTGGTTAGAATTCTCTTCATTAAGTGTTTGACTGGGATTTGTGACATGTGCCCGTGTCCAGGCAAGAGGCTCAATTTGCTGACTCCTCCAGTCCCACCTCTCTATGAACTGTGCTTTTTACAAACAGGAATGGGAAAACGTTCTCATACACATTGGCTACATGACGAATGGAGGGGCAGTTTAACCTCTCAAACACCTTGTATTTATTCTTGTTAACAGAATTTGAGTGCAGGATTCCAAAACATCACCTGAAAGCTGAAGCCTACCCAGAGCTTTCAAGTACAGGAATTTCGCCTTCACAAATCCATATTTCACCAAAGAAGCTTGTGATTAGTTTATACATTTCATCATCATATAAGCACCTAACACCTCAATCACATAAAGCACTAAGAACAGGACTCAGAAAGATACTCTAATTATAAAACTGATTTATTGTTTACTCTCACAGGCCCTAGTTGTTACTTCCACTGAAGTCAATGGGAGTTTTGCCATCGACTTCAATAGGGTGGAGCAGAGCCAGGGACTTTTGTCTGTTAATTCCTTGTGGATCATTTACAGCTTTCCAAGCACCACTGCAAAAATAAACTTCAGATTTTGGAAAAACCACACTCACACACACAACAAAACACACAACTGGAGTTAAAATGTGTATAAATACCCAAAGAGAACCGCTGGCGTAATATCCCTACAGGATTTCAGAATAGCTTATTTACTCATTAAATCAGTAAATGACAGCTCCGTTTTTCAAGAACAGCTGAATGTGCATTTCTCTCATCAGGGGTCAAATGATCCACCATCCCAAATACATAATTTGCTCTTGAGTATAGATCAAGTCTCAGTCTTGGGCTCAGAGCACAGACACGGCTAAAAGTGGCCTTGATAAGAGATAGTGCTCTGGAGGTGCCAAGCAAAGATATCCACACAGGGAAGGGGAATATCTCTTCTAGGTACCTCTCTAGTGCAATCCAGTTGATGAACCCTAGATGCTCAAGGTCTTGATGAGGGAAAAAGAGCAGGCTACAGGAGACAACCAGCCACATGAAGTCAGATATTCAGGCAGCCAAAAAAACAGAGAAAGGATGAAAACTCGCACACCTTCTATTTCTTCCACCTTTAACATGCCTATCCTACCTCAAACAGCGCATTGACAAAACTCAATATTAGGATAGAGCTTGAGCATTTTTGCACCCTATTGTCACATATTTCCAGGCAAGATTCTTCTGAAACTAAATATTTCCCCTGCAAATGCCTGTGAAATGTCACTCTCCTGCAAATTTCCACCACTCAGCTGCTGAAAGAGTCAAAAACTAAAGCCCTGGACTAAACCGGGGCAATGTTCCTGGATGAACCTCCACCATCTTGCTGAAAGGATTCTCATGTCGACCGCTTGGGAAAAGCGGGGCTAAGACAAAGGGGAGCTGAAAGCCTGGGGCTTGAACTGAAACTATAAAAGGAACAAAAGTAGGAGCAACAAAACTCTACGGACTCCTTTGGCACCCAAGGAGGAAGCTTAAAACACAGCCAGCGTCTCTCAGCCTTCCCCCCCCCCCATCTTCTTCTAAGAAGAAAAAAAGAAAGAAGAAAAGACAGCTCTTAGAAACAATCTCTTTCTGTGTAAGCTGTTGCCAGAGTCAGAGAATAAGCCAGCATTTCTGTGCCAGCCCATTCACATGGCCAGGTGAAAAGAAACTCATTCCTTTACAGCCTGTGCTGCCCCACACAACATCTGCTGAGAAAGTGGGATGGGAAACACCAAAAAGGGGAGAAGAGAACAGCCGAGGCCTTCAGGTTAGAAGGGCAGGCTGTTCCCACCAGGGAGCCCCTCTTTCACTTGCAGACAACTGCTGCATTTGACATTTCAATGGGAACTGAGGCAGAGCAGGAGGGAGGGCGACGGAGGAGGGGGAGGTGGCAGAGCACACATAAAGGGACCCAAGTGAGAAAAAGCAAAGAGACAAGAATTCTGCATCTCTTTCATTGCTGCTTTCAGGGTTTTTCCCCTATAATATGAGAGTCGGGAGAAAGAGGAGAGTTCCTTTTAAAATGAGAGGTCTGGCGCTGTTAAAAACTTCGAGATGAATCAATTTTATGGGGCTTACAGGTCAAAACTCATTTTTTTTGTCAGCCCCCTTTTCTTGTGTTTTCAATGAGAAGGGAAAAGGATTTACATAAAATAAACAACAAGAATGAATAGGAGCAAACCCTGCCATGGGCACCAACAGTGGATGCTTTTAGAAAGTTACACGAATGTTGTTTCAGTGCTCAGCATTGTCTGAAGGTTCAACACAGACACATTCATCCCAGGGAGCAATTCTGGAATCCCGATCGCTTCATACAAACCTCTCAATGAGAGCTGCATGCTTTTTTAAACCTGCTTTAGAGAAACTTTCATCCAAACACATCAGAGTATTTTGTAAAGGCTTCAAAGCAGCCCTGTGCCATAAAAAGGGTATTATCTCCATTTGACAGAACAGGAAACTGAGGCCCAAAGGGAATCACTCAGACAGCATCCAGAAATGAATCACTGGTGAAGCCTGGAATAAAACTGGTTCCCTGGAGCACCACACTCATCTGCAGTGGATGCAGAAGTGGCCTTGGCTAAGTGAGAGTCTCTACTGGGGTTTATGGTAAGTCCAAATATGCAAACCAAAAAAAACAAGGCCTAAAACATTCATATCTACAAGTGGTAGATAGGGATTCATAGTCACAACAGTCCAGGGAAGTTTGGAGGAACCTTTCAGCATTGGGTGAAGAGATAAGCAAATGGCTGAGGTGGGAAGATGGTAGAGGAGAGCCCAGAGCAGCTTCCTTGAAGGCAATGTAGGAAGGTTAGGGGTCTCACTCTTCTGAGGTGCAACGTGGGATCAGCTTCCACAAATGGAATGGGATAAGAAATACTACATCCACAATTACTTCAGGTTTGCTTCTTTCTCTGTAAGGATTTCCATGAATTCCCCTAACATTAAGGGAAGCAAAAAAAAAAGAAACCCAGAAAGCTTGCAAGGTTAACACCACGCTCAACATTCAACACGTGCTGTACAAGTCAGTAGTGCCTTGCTATTTGCTTAGGACCAGGGTCATGCACAGGAGAGAGGCTCCAAAAAGCCACAAAGCCCTGAATGTGTGAGCAATAACTCAGAAGCGAGGATTACGAGGTTAAAATGCTTTGTGTTCAGCTGGAATCAGTCTAGAGAGAGTTCAGCATCACTTATGCTTTTGTGTGTCAGAAATTGCCAATCTTTGATCCTTCCTGACTGCTCCTGACTCAACATTCCCTCCTTTGTGCCCCTGCTCCTCACGACACACATACACACAAACCAGTGAGCTACCCAGTTTGCACTAGGACAGATTTAAGAGTGAAGAAACAAAGCCACAGGTGTTTCCCAGTAACATGTATGCATCACCTATCACAATGAGGAATCACAGCCTGCACCTTCCTCCTACCAACACATCCTCATGGCTTTAACCAGCACTCTCCAGGCTTCCAACCTCCACAATCTTCATTTTCACTCTTTTGCCAGTCACAGGCATCCACAAGCAGATTTACCTGAATATTCATAGTGCCCATCAGAAGGCATGGAGAGAACGTGATCATTTATTTTGGAGTGCTTTAGGGGCTTTGGTGGTTTATTTAAAGTGAGAACATCTACAAAAATTTCTGTCACTGGCAACAAGAAAATCTTTACCAACCTTTCTTCATCTTTGGAGGTTAAAACATGAACCCCGTTTTAAAGGGACTTGCATGCAATATGTATTTTCTGTATTTGTCACACCCTCAGCAAGTCCAGCACCATGGCATAGCAGGTATCAGAGTTCTGTGCAATCCTAAAACCTCTCCACCATGCTTGGAGGAAATGGCAAATGCTTTCCATTCCATCTTTTCCTTCCCTCACACCCCCAGTGAGGGCAAAGGAAGTATTCCTGTGCTAGAAAGGAACCTAGGGCACTCTCCAAAACTGCAGGAATGCTTCAGCCCATCATCTGAAAAATCCCAATTTTATACTGGAGGAACATTTAAGAGTATTTTCCCAGCACCAAAATAAGGAATGTTCCCAAGGATGGGAGGTTTAGCTGCCTGTCCAAACTCTCCACTGAAGTCCAGTACATGTGAGCATCCTAAGGGGTGAATCTGGATGAGTGCAAGGCAATCCAGGCTGCACTCTGCTGTACCACTAACACCCAAAGCAAGGAGCTGTTGGCACCTCTGAACTGTGTGGCTCTATTTTCCATCTGCAAAACAGGAATAAAAACCTACCCAATCTCAACACATTGAAACCCTGTGCAGATGATAAAGCTGCAAAGTGCTAATGAGGTTAAATCCCTTCCTGGTGCCTCACAAGCAGCTCTCAGGGAGGAGACAACAACAGATAGAGAAGGACTTTATTTTCTAACTATAATAAAGTTGCCCTTATTATTGCAGTTTTGGCAGCAGTAATATAATTTAGGAAGTTATCTATATCCCAGTTTATCCCCACCCTTTAATGCCCAGGAGAAGTGACTAATTGAGTGACAACAGAGCAGAGCCACTACAACTCTTGCAGCCTCCATAGTAGGTGATGAGGACAAGTCCATGCACCTTTTCCCATATGGAGCTGAAGCCACATCCCCGTGCCCGGTCTGAGAGGCTTCACTGTTTCGGCTGCCACGTTTTATAACACATACTCAGAAACCAGATATCTGTGGAGTAATGGTGAGTAATGTACTGGCTGCTATCTGCCTCGTTGAAAGGGTGATAAGAGTCGGTCAGAGATAGTCCTGCTTCCCAAATTAGATAGCTAAACCATCAGGCCCTTGGAAAATTAACACCACAGGCTCCTCCCCACCATCACCTTCCTCCTCACAGATAAGCACCTGAGCATTGCTAGCACAACATTAACTGCAGCATCAGTCCCTGGTCTTTAAAGAGTCATGACTCACAGACAAGATCATGAAATTCATTTATACTTAATTCAATTTTTCTATTAAAAGGCTCATTTGAATGCGCTTTCAGTTTTCTCCTCACTACTGGGCTAGAAATGAGTTTTTAAATGGAAAACGCAATGAAGAGAGAAGCTGCTTTTCCTACAGCAGTTGGACTTCAGTGAAATCTTTCAACCTGCAGGAAAGGCACAACTTTCTCTAAGCCAAGAGAGATGGCAACAACACATCTATCAAAAGCATTCCTCAGGTTAAGGCGTCTTCCCTGCGCTTGGCTCAAGCCAAGTTTTTAAGCTCTAGTTCATACATTATGCCCACAAAAACAACCGCCTCAGAGTCACAGCAGTGTGACAAAGCACTGCTTGATGATGAGTTAGTTCTGCTGCAGCACTTGACCCATGTTTTCACACTGCCAACTGATTTGGGCCAATAACATCAGCCAGAGGCAGGTACCTAGGTGGGTGATGAGGAAAAGCAATGACATCTGGACCCATCACTGCTATTTGCTTCAGGGACCAGAGCCATGTTCTGGAGATGGTTGGCCCCTACTTTGAAACCCTCCTAGTGCTTGTGGTAGAGGTCAGGCAGGGATCTCAGATGGTTCAGACCGGTTGGAATAGGAAACTGTATGGTGATGAGAAATCTCGGTTGTGTTCACAGTGCTGTCCCCAGCACTCTTTGGCAACAAGCAACTTAAAAATGTCTCAAGTGAGCTCTGAGATGGGGCAGAAACTTTGGTTGGAGAGAAAAAACAAACAAACAATCACTCTACAAACATCTCAGAATGGAAAAATCATTAAGAACTTGACACTGAAAATACTCTGGATTTGGCATTTTGGTGCTCTGTGCTTTTGTCCTTCATCAGCTTTATCTGCCTTGGGCATGAAATACTGTAGATCCACACCTCCCAAAAGCAATGGGGATGAAAGATTTGGGGTTCAGCACTACCTGAAGACCAAGGCAACCACAAAGCTGAGACCAGACTTCAGCCAAACCTTCCTGTGAGCAGTGAGCAATTGCACCTCAGTTTTGGTATTTGCACGCTCCTGGAGCAAGGACCATTTTTGTTCAGCTCTTAACACCAGCTCAGCACCATCTAATTTTCCATCTCTGAAGGAATGCTCTGGTTTGCCAGGTTAACTCTGGGCAGAGCCATGTGCTATTTGGATGGAGACCCATGAGCTACAAGAGCTGAATTTGGAGCCTCTTTCACCTACCCTTCCCCAGTCACATTCTGAGAACTCAAGGAAGGGAGTGAATAATCAGAGAACAAGTTTTAAAGAGAAATACAGTGAATTCATCTGTAAGATCTACATGGGTAACCTACCTGCTGGCTGTTACCATTAGCAATTTTTTAAGCTGATTTAAAGCAGATGAAAGCCCTGAAGGCTAAAGTCTGCTAATTCACCCCCCACCTACCCACCAGCTCCAGAAATAAATCTTGTGGGTTTGGAAATAGCTCCTTCCCCACCTCTAACCACAGGCTTGACAGTCCCAGCCAAGCCTCTCCGTTTCATTAGCTCCTGGATCATTCATACACATACAAATATGCATACATAGGCACACACATACAAAGAGTTGCCCACTTACAAACCTGACAGGTAAAATTATTCCCTCCTTCTACAGCCCTCCTAATTGCCTCCCCTGGGCTCTTGCGAAGTGCAAACGTCACTGGCTAAATATTAAGTTCACGCAGTGTCACCATTATGCCTTTCATTAAAGCAATATCTGTCTCATAGCTCACCGTATATGCTCCTTCTAATTTCACTGTTAGGACCCACATGGAGCACACAACTTTCCAGTCCAACTCTGAATCATTATGCCAATTCCCCTCAGTTATTTAATGATAATTTTCTCAGGAACCACTTGAAAAACAAGAGTGAGGTTTTGCTAAAGCACATTTTACCCCAGCATGCATACATGTGCCTTTTCTTGATTTGCCCAGAAACAGTTGGTAATTCAAGATCCCATTCATTCAATATCATTAAAATGGAGTCCTATTAGAAGGTTTACAGTTTTTACCATCTTAAATCTCCACGCTGGAAGCTTGTCATGGCGTCATAGTCTGAACAGAAGTGAATTTTCCTGTCAGAGAAGGGTCATCTCCGCAGCTGCTGTTGTTTATGCCTCCTGAAATCCAAATGAAGAAACACGCCACCTGTGAGGAACAGCAATGATTTTAATTGGATTGCATTTACTATCAAGAGATAAATAAGCAACGGAAATAGTTAGTGTCAGTAGTCCCTTTTTTGCAAACTGGGACCTGTAACAATTGCTCCCGAGTTCAGGATGCAAACCAGCCTTTCCCAAATACCTTTTGAACCCCACCTCTGACAGGACCTTAAAAGTTGAGGAGTCAGGACCGAGACAGAAGAAACTGTAAGAGATGGACTTAACCAGAAAACACTTGAAAATGGAAAAGGAAGTAAATCTGGCTGCTATAGGTTACTCAGCAAACAGCAATGCCAAAGTAGGATCTATTGTGCTAATGCACAGAATTCTATAGCCTGATGATTTGCAAAGCAAGTTAATAGAATAACAATTAACAAAATGAACTATCCTCAAATTGTTTGGATTAATGGTAAGCAGTGAGCAACATGGTAGCTGTTCTCTGCTTTTTGGAGGTGCGGATAGCAGAAACAAAGCACGCAAACCCAGCTGCATGAGCCTGGGCTAGTGAGTATTTATAACGTCTAATTGCCAAAATGT